GTTGCAAGACACGATATCAAGGCATTAATTGTTGTTGTTCCTTTTTTTTCTTGTCTCTACCTCTCCCACCTGCTTATATCCCACTCCACAATCCTTCGCTCAGTTGACTCCAGCCTTTGTCCCTTGTCCCCTCCCCACCATTGGGAGCCGTGCTTTCAGTCACTACACCCTGATATCCTGGAACTCTTTGCCTCAGTCCATCTATCTTGCCCCCTTTTTGTCCTTCTTCAGACATACCTGAAGACCTTCCTGTTCGACCATGCCTATGGTCAAAGGAGAGAATGTTTTGCAACATTGCAAAAAGCTGGCGCAGGCCCATTGTATGTGATGTTGCTGTAAACTGTTAAATTCCCCACTTTCTTCCCAGCTCAGCATCAAGCTCCATCATGGTTTAGTGCTTCCAGATACTACTCTGCGTGAAGGGTGATGTATAGCCGATAAGTAGTAAAAGTCACATACCCTTAAGCCACACGTTGGCACTTTGAGCTCATAGGCCAGTTGAGACTTCTGCAGCTTTGCAGGAGCTTTGCATTGTTGGAGGTTCCGTCCTTTCAATGAAATGTTAACAACAGCTTAAATTTATGTAGTGACCTTCATGTGGATTCGCGTCTCAGAGCACTTTAACTCGTGTCCCATCTGCATGTTCAGGTGGACGTTAAAGAACCCGTGGCACTATTTGAAAAGAGAAAGGAGTTTCTCCTGGTGTCCTGGCCAACAATCCCCCAGATAAAATTGGTCATTCATTCCAGGACTGTTTGTGGACAATTGGTACATTGCTTTCAGCCCGAAACACACAGTTACTGCAATTTACAAAAAATAATTAGTACTTTCTGTTGTTTTGTCGATGTGATAAACTACTATATATATCTGTGCGTTTATCCACAAAATAGTCATTTAATTTACAATATATTCTGTGAAGCATTTTGAAATGTCTCAACGAGTTGATAAGGCGCTATGTGAAATGCAAGGATTATTAGTATTATTGTGTCACTTGTGGTCTTGACTTGCTGTCTGCCCCTCCTTTGCTTTAAGACCCAAAGAACATAGGCTGAAATTAAGACTGAATTCAAGTTTTCCAAATTGTTTGCAAAATCCTAAAATTTGAAACAAAACAGCCGAGCAGGCTAAAACCAAGTGGAATTTGGGGCCCCTCAAAGGCAAAAAGAAATGCATTACCTTTGGCTGTGAGGTCTGATTCCGACGTGAGAAATTTGACAAGATACAGCAATACCTCATTCAGCATTTTATAATGTGGGCCTGAGTCACTCACAGCTTTTTGCAATCTTACAAAAGTTTCTCTCCTTTGACTATAGCCAATAATCCCCCAGATAAAGTGGCTTATTCACTTAGAATCATAAAACGTTACAGCACAGAAGGAGACCATTCGGGTCAAATTATGCCTGTGCTGGCTCCTTCAAAGCCCCACTCCCCCGCTTCATGGGTGTTAGCGACAGACAATGTTGGCTGCCGTGTTCACCTGGAAAATATGCCTTTTGTGGCGGGAAGTGCTCATGTAGTGGTCTTCACGTTGCATGGATGTCTGAAAGTGCTTAACATTGCTAACTGGGCACCTGAGCTGGGGAGTAGGAGCAGGGTGTCTGTGAGGGAGGGGAAAGATGATCGCGAGTTTGAAACGCTTTGAGACGTCCTCCCAACATGAAAGACGCTGTATCAAACGCAAGGTTTATTATTTTGAAAATGTGGTACTAGGTTCAGTACCAAAAAAGGGGAACCAAAAAAGTGATTAAGAGGGAGAAAATGGTATATGAGGGCAAACTAGCGAGGAACATAAGGACAGACTGCAAGAGTTTTTATAAATATATAAAGAGGAAGAGGCTGTCAAAGGTAAATATGGGTCCGTTAGAGGCAGAGACGGGGGGAATTATAGTAGGGGACAAAGACATGGCAGAGTCATTAAACAAGTACTTTGCTACTGTCTTCACCTTAGAAGACACTGAAAACCTACCAAGAATAGAGTGGAACCAAGAAGACAACGTTAGCGATCAACTTGGAGGAATTAATATTAGTAAAAAAATGGTTTTAGGAAAATTATCAGGTCTTAAAACTGATAAATCTGCTGGACCTGATGGCCTACATCCTCGGGTTTTAAAAGAGGTGGCTACTGAGATAGTGGATGGCTTGTCTTTGATCTTCCAAAATTCTCTGGATTCTGGAACGGTTCCCATTGATTGGAAGATTGCAAACGTAACACCACTATTTAAGAAGGGTGGGAGAGAAAAGATGGGGAACTATAGACCAGTTAGTCTGACATCAGTGGTGGGGAAAATTCTTGAGTCCTTAATTAAAGATGTCGTTATGGGATTCCTGGAAGACCATAACAAGATTAGGCAGAGTCAACATGACTTTACAAAAGGGAAGTCATGCTTAACTAATCTTTTAGAGTTTTCTGAAGATGTATCTAGCAGGTTAGATAGGGGGGAACCAGTAGATGTAGTATATTTAGATTTTAAGAAAGCATTTGACAAAGTACCACACAAAAGGCTATTGCACAAGGTTAAGGCCCACGGGATTAATAGAAACACATTAGCATGATTTGAAGAGTGGCTAACGGGTAGAAAACAGAGAGTAGGGATAAACGGGTCATTCTCAAATTGGCAGGATGTGACTAGTGGAGTGCCACAAGGATCAGTGCTTTGGCCTCAGCTATTTACAATTTACATCAATGATCTAGACGAGGACATTGAATGTAACATATCTAGTGGAGTCCTGTGGAGTCCTGTAGCTCAGTGGTTAGAGCACTCGCTTTGCAAGTGAGAGACCTGAGTTCAATTCCAGGCAGAGGGCGAAACCTTGGGCAAGTTTCCTTACTCCACACAGAGCCTAATAATAATCCCTCCAAAACCCAAAACAATAATAAATTGGTCATTTTCAATCTACGGCTGTTTGTGGGACATTGCTGTGCGCAATTGGCTGCCGCGTTCGCCCACAAATATACAGTCAATTCACTTTACAGTGTGTTCTGTGAAGCGGTTTGGGACGTCCTCCCGACGTGAAAAGCGCTATATCAAATGCAAGGATTATTATTATTATTATATTATCTAAATTCGCGGATGACACTAAACTACGTGGGAGAGTAAGCTCTGAGGATGATGCAAAAAGATTGCAGCGGGATATAGATAGGCTCGGGGAGTGGGCGAGTAGGTGGCAGATGGAATTTAATGTGGGGAAGTGTGAAGTTATTCACCTCGGTAGAAAAAATAGAAAAATAGATTATTTTCTAGAGGGGGAGAGATTAGATAGTGTTAGTGCTCAGAGGGATTTGGGTGTCCTTGTACACCAGTCTCAAAAAGTTAGTTTGCAGGTGCAGCAGCAACTAAGGCAAACGGCATGTTAGTGTTCATTGCAAAAGGTTTAGAGTACAAGAGTACGGAAGTCTTGCTGCAACTGTATAGGGCCTTGGTGAGACCGCACCTAGAGTACTGTGTGCAGTTTTGGTCTCCTGATTTAAAAAAGGACATACTTGCCTTAGAGGGGGTGCAGCGTAGATTCACTCGGTTAGTTCCTGGGATGAGGGGACTGACCTATGAGGAGAGGCTGAATAAACTAGGGCTGTATTCTCTAGAGTACAGAAGAATTAGGAGAGATCTTGTTGAAACATGTAAGATTCTTAAAGGGCTGATAAAGTAGACACTGAGGGACTGTTTCCCCTGGTAGGAGAATCTATAACCAGGGGTCACAGTCTTAAAATTAAGAGTCAGCCTTTTAGAACAGAGTTGAGGAAACATTTCTTCACTCAGAGGGTCGTGAACTTATGGAATTCACTACCCCAGAAGGCTGTAGATGTTCAGTCCTTGAACATTTTCAAGGCTGAGACTGATAGATTTTTAAAAAAACAGAGGGATATGGGGATAGGGCAGGTAATTAGAGTTAGGTCAGAAGATCAGCCATGATCTTATCAAATGGTAGGGCAGACTTGAGGGGCCGAATGGCCTACTCCTGGTCCTAATTCGTATGTTCTTATGTTCATTTCATTCATATGTGGAGTCCTGTCGCTCGGTGGTTAGAGCACTCACCTCGCAAGTGAGCGAATGCAGGTTTGATTCCCGGTCAGGGTGACACCCTAGGCAAGTTTCTTACTCCACACTCCTCCATTTACCTAGCAGTAAGTAGGAACCCAATCTAACCAAAATAGGCAGTCGGTAGGTCGGTTTAATGTCTCATCCGAAGGACAGCATCTCCATCAATGCAAACACTCACCCCAGTGCATTGGAATCCCGTCCTGGTCTGTGAGTTCAGAATCTCCACCTGGGGCTTGAACCCACAACTTCTGACCGGGAGGTGGGAGTGCTGCCAAGTGAGCCAGCCTGACACCTGAGGGTGAACTTTGAACCGTGAGTGTGGGTAGAAGCAATTTTTTTTGTTTCTATATTGATGTGGCTGAAGTTATTACAATTGTGCAACCATTTGATCTATATTTTACACCAGTATTGATAGGCGCTTCATGTGCACTTGTACAAAGACCATCAATGCATGGATTTAAACCCTCAAAATGTCTAGAATTCCAGATCTGACCATGCAGTCTGTATGCATGGAGTCCTATAGCGTATTGGTTAGAGCACTCGCCTCACAAGTGAGAGGATCTGGGTTTAATTCCTGGGAAGGATGAAACCTTAGGCAAGTTTCCTTGCTCCATATGCCTCTGTTTACCTAACAGTAAGTTGGAACTCGGTTGTTAGTCAATTGGTGAATTGGATAATTCAATTGGTGAAGGATAATAATTCCTTCAAAAAAAAAAGAAGTCCTGTTACTCAATCCACGACTGTTTTTTGGAAACTGATGTGTGCAATTGGCTGCCTCGTTTCGCCCATAAAATATACAGTGAATTCACTTTACATTATGTTCTGTGAAGAGCTTTAAGATGTCTCAATGACGTGATAAAGTGGCATATCAAATGCAAGGATTATTATTAATATTATGATGCAAAAATTATGACCCCCCCTTTATTATTCTATATTCTCAATGGTGTGTATTTTCTGCAGGTACGAAAACACGTGAATGATCTGTATGAAGATTTAAGAGATGGACATAACCTGATTTCTCTCTTGGAGGCTCTTTCTGGCGACACCCTGGTGAGTCTTCTTTCCCTATCCGGTCAGAAATGAAACCAGTCCTTATTGATATAGTAAAACTCGCACAATCTGATCTGAACAAATTGTATAATCGCCTAAATATTGTATAATGTGACGAACTCCCATTCAAGAGTTTATATTCTACGTAAGTTTGACTTCACTCATATCTTGAGTCATTAAACTTACGGTCCCAACTGATACCACTTATCCGCCCACAAAATATATAGTTAATTCACTTTGCAGTAAATTCTGTGAAGCGCTTTGAGAGGTCTCAAAGACGTGATACGGTGCTATATCAAATGCAAGGATTATTACTTATGTGAGCTTTATTGTAGTTCACCAATTACCTCATCTCAAATCACTTTTTCTCCCATCTCCTGCTTTGGTAAAGCCGAAACGAACCAGGGTTTGAGTGGGTGTGTGTGTGTAATTTCCCGTTGTTTCCAAAGTGCAGTGATTTTGACTATGGAGTGTATGATGGACACATTGCCATCCTGACGCACATTGCTGGAAGGAATTCCTGCACTTCGCGACGGGAGGAATATCTCACAGAACAAATTCGAACTCGTTTTTAAGAGAGGGGAAAAAAAATTAAATTTCTGTACGAAAAGTTTGTGGCGAGCGCGCAGTATTTTTGTTTGCTGCCCGTTACATTCCTACACGTTCAAATGAAACTGACTGTAGGGATGTTGGATGGTGTGTGTGTGTGTGGTTGGGAGGGGGGGAAGGAAGAGAGATGCAAAGAAGCAGAAATCACTTCGAGCAGTAACTTCACGGTGATCAGAAAGTAGCCCTTCGCACATTGTATTAAAGTTAAGGTCACTGGCTCGCGGGTTTCTCTCTTTATGTACGTTACTTCCTATTTGGTTTTGCTTTTCTCTGTCTTTCTATGTTTTACCTTGTGTTTCATTTCACACTTTTTTTTCATTCTTATTCACTTCTCTGCTGCTGTCCTGTGCCTTTTGTCCTTTTTCTTCCCTCCCATTTGTCTCGTCCCATCTCCTCTGCCCCCACCTCCTCTTTCCCTCCCTCTCCCTCAACCTGTTATACTCGGTAGCCAAGGGAACGTGACATACTGAAGACTTTACGGTTGGTGAGTGCAGCAGAAGCATGCGCGTGTGATCAGCATGAGGATGGAGATGATAAGGGGGTAGGTGCTTGCCCCCATTAACTACTAATGTGCACTGTACTGGTAGGTGAAATGGCAGCGTAATAAACCCAATTAAGAGCTTGTTTAGTAATCCGCTATCTCTCTACCAGAGAGAATGAAACAGCGGGTGGTGAGCTACCATAGTTGACAAACCTGCTGTCGTTAGTGCTTTCTAGTCTCGCAACTTACTGCAGCTCTGAAAAAAAATATTTTGTTTATTTTAAAGTTTCAAACAACTAAACTGAGCGTTTAATTGCAATTTCTTAATATTCTTTTACCTGAGGATGGTCCAACTGGACCTGTGGGCTGGATGCAGCCGGTTCATCTGGCCCACCTGCTCCCTCCATAATCTGTAAATTTGTCATGTTTCTGGAAGGGAAACACAAAAAATATTGCTTATGCAGCCCGCAGACTCTTCTCAACTGGGGCATCCGGCCCTCAGCAGCCAAAAGGTTGGACCACCCTACACAACGCTCATATCTAGTATAACTCTTTTTATCCCCCTCTCCCCCATCCACTTGTTCACGGGTTCTGCACGTTTCTGAAGCTGGTGCAAAGAAATCGCTGCGGATCTGAGGAAAACTGATAACCTGAGATTCTAGTGCTCACCCCACACTGTGTAGATGGAGAGACGGAGAGGAACTCTCAAATGCACTGGGAGGTTATCAAGGGAAACAGCAGAGCTGGCTCAATGCACCAAATGGACTACTCCTATTCCTATGTTAATAAAATTTTTTTTACAAAGAATGTACAGCACGGAAATAGATCACTCAGCCCAACCAGTCCGTGGCGATGTTTATAACTCCACACAAGTCTCTATTGAATCCTTACTCCCACCTGTGCCCTTCTGGGGCTGTACTCAGCAATACCTGTTGCTCAGGAATTTCCTTTCGTCAAATAACTCGCCATTTTTAGCCAATTTCTGCATCATTGAAGGCCAGAGCACCCCTTGACCTTGTTAATCGGATGCCATTTGCCCTTTCTGTGCAGACGTGCTCCTTCTTAAGGCCGTGTTATTGCTCTGTGACACGGCAATGGGTCGTGGGAACCTGCCCCTTGGGTGGCCTGTGAGCAGGGTTGGATGCTCTGTGTTGAAACTGTTGAGGCGGAATTGTGTCCTGGGGAATGGGGTTGGAGAAAGAGTTTGCTCAAGAGAGAAATCTTATAGAACGCTAATTTCCTCCACCATACCAACCCTCCCCCGATTTGCTATTATGCATTGTTTCTGTACCAACAGTGTGGTACATTCATCTCTGTAGTTGTCCATAGAGATTTGGATCTTGACCCAATTTTGCTTAACCGAGCTAATGGGCTTCAGTGCGTTTTTCCCCTCTCTTTCCCCTCCCTAAAATAAAATAAAATACAAGTACTGATGTGGTTCAACCAGAGCAAGAAATGGCTTTCAAATACAGAAAGAAGCCCATTTTCTCCTTTCAACACAACGTTAAAGTTAAAAATGCTAGAAAATTCTTTCCTTTTGAGCTCCTCCTGTTCAGTGACACAAGTACACTCTGGTGATGAAAGCAGTAAATGTCAATGAAGCACTCGGCAGAATTTAAGAAAGAGAGATTTAGTTTGGGTGGGAGGGTCCTTGGATCTTGAGTCCTGTTGTGGAGTCCTGTAGCGTATTGGTCACCTAGCAAGCGAGAGGACCTGGATTCGATTCCCCGGGCAGGGTGAAACCTTAGGCAAGTTTCCTCACTCCATACGTCTCTGTTTACCAACAGTAAATAGGAGCCTGGTTATTAGTCGATTGGCAGATCGCTTTCTGGGAGTAATAATTCCTTTTTTAAAAAAAATAATAATTTGGTCACTCAATCCACCACTGTTTGTGAGCCACTGTTGTGCGCAATTGACACAGCAATTTTTGAGACGTCTCAACGACATGGTAAGGCTCTGTATGAAATGCAGGCATTATTATTATAGAGAGCCCCAGTTATATTTGAAAGCTCCTGAACAGGGTGGAAAGGACATTGACTGAAAGCAGTATGTCTGCTTTCGCTACCACAGAGAATGGGCCTTTAAACAAGGGAAAGGAAAGACCTGTCTGAATAATGAGAGAGAATTCGGAAGGAAGACCGTGTTTTCTTTTGCAGTTGTGTGCAACAGAATTTCTGCTGTTCAATCCCAGTTGCGGTTGGGGGTGAAGATGGGGCAGTGGTGGTTAGCGGGTGTTTTGCTGTGGGAATTGTAAAGTTTGCAGTCTGCTCCAGATTGAAACACGGTCTCACTTCAGATGATATTTTTTTTACCTGTCTGGCTGTGTATTTATTAGCGTTCACACATCGCTGCTTTGAAATGTCAAACAAGCTTGACATGTGGGTGATGCACCAGTAATGACGGCCGATATCACTTGCATGTTTCCAAGCCTTTCCTCGCTGTCGGATACACTGACTGGGTTTCACTGGGGACATCTCTATTTGATTCTCTCTCTCTCTCTCTCTCTCTCTCGTTCTCACGCTTTTACCAAGTTTTCTTTTCTTTCAAAAAAACTTGCGTGTTTTTTTTTAAAAAAGAAAGATTCTATCCTGTCCACTGACGCACATCACTATTTTACTGCACGATTGCTGTGTACGGACACATGCTGTTCCCTTGTTGAATCAGTTGGAAGCGAATCTTCGGAGCTTCCCTTTGATTCACAGTGTCCCGATCCCAGTCGTTTTCACCCCTCACTGCCTCGGTGACAAAGATGGGAATTTCTGTATTTAAGCCTGAAATAGCTTTCAGCTTTCCAATAGCTTCTGCAGATCTAGAGATACAGGTGAGGGAGGGAGCTCAGAGAGGGGTTAGGAGAGTTAGAAAATGGGGGAGTGGTTATTCAGAGGGGAAGGGGGTTACAGAGCGAAGAGAGGGTTAGAAAAGGTGAGTTGGGGAAAGGTATTTAGAGAGAGGATGAGGAGGGGTTTAGAGAGGGGGGAGTGGCGGAGAAAGTTTCACATTTTCCTACCAGGTACAGTCACAAAACTTGACAGCAATTATCTTCAAAGCACTTTGAGGCTGTTCAGCATTATAGACACCATGTCAGATGCAAGGAATATTATTTCTAATGTGTATACATGACATCTCTGAAATAACCCAATCGCCATCATCCAAACAAACTGTGCTGTTTGTCCATCCGACAGATAAGTAGGTTCCATCTTCCAGAATGGAATAACTTGGCTGGTTTGCTGCAGAGATGAGCTGATCCTTATCTAGTACTTCAAACAGGACATAGTTCTGTGCTGTTCTCCCTTCCTGTTGATTCTGGTGAAGGACCTTAAAACAGGGAATCGTGCCAGTGTGGGACACTGCTGTGTGCAGTTGGCTGCTGCATTTCACCCACTCCGCTTTACAGTGTATTCTGTAAAACCCTTTGAGACGTTACAATGACGTGATAAGGCGCTATATCAAATGCAAGTAGTATTATTATATAATGATATTCCGTTCAAGAGCTGCTCTGCTTCACCAAAGCAAAGCTGCTCCCAGCATTACTCAACCCTTCCATTCCCCAATCTGATGGAAAGCAATAAATTGCTTCAACAACACTTCCTCACTCAGTCACTACGCTTTACAGTAAAACCCTGTGAAGCGCCTTGAGATGCCATTCTGATGTGAAAGCGCAGTATCAAGTGCAAAGATTATTAACAATAATAATAATCCTTGCATTTTAGTATTAACAATAACGATAATAATAACAAAAGGACATTCCTTGAAGATGCAGTATGGACAGCTTAACAGAGGGTATTTAGACGGACACCAAGCGTAGGGAGGTAATGCCAATCTTCCTCTCCACTGTGGTGGGCAGAGTGGGGTGAAGAGGCGAGGACAATAGAAGAGGAAGGGGAAGAGAGGAGGAAGGGGCGGGGAAAGAGAATGAGGTTCCATTCGCACTGAGGATATTATCCCTCCATCATTTCAAAGTGGACCTGATGTCTTCACGAGATTCCTCTCTGGTGAGGTTGGCGTCAGCTCTTCCTCTGATTGCAAACAAGAGCGTGTGCATGTTGTGTTGACTTTTGCGTGGATGCATGTGAAACCTCACCGCACAGAGTGACAACCTGAAGAAAACGTTGATTTTTTTTTCCCTGCTGCTTCTTCTTCTGCCTTTTCCTTGAAGGAAAATAATAAAAGCTAATTTGCAATGTTGTTTTTAACCCTCTCAGCCCCGTGAGAAAGGGCGTATGCGCTTCCACAGACTACAGAATGTACAGATTGCACTGGACTACTTGAAACGCCGCCAGGTGAGTGCTGGGGTTGCGCTGGGATCCAGTGAACTGGATTAGTTAATGGGAGGAGGGTGCAGGGGTGGGGGAGATAGAGGGGAACATATAATTGGATGTGTCACTCACTCAACCTACTTTGTTCCAGTAAAAAAACTCTAAGGTTCCATTTGCTTTTTGACAGCTTTGTCCACCTGCCTTCCCACCCTTAAGGATTTATGCACATTAACTTCCCAAGTGCCTTTGGTCTTGTTATAACACGTTTTTTGAGCCACAAAACCAGTTTCCTGAGCGTGCGGACAGCCTTCCTGCTCGCTCCTTATGAACCGGACGGGTTCTCGCGTGAAACGACAAATGGCCGACTTTTAGGCCTTCAGGTCACTGAGGGTGTCACTTCCTGCTTTTGGAGCAGCAAATCCATGGTGACCGGATGGCCCGGAAGTCGGGCATTTGTCTCGTTTTAATCAAGAGCCGGTCTGGCATGCGGGAAGCGAGCCAGCGAGCTGGTTCTGAGCACGAGCAGTGAATGGGGTCCATAGAGCAACCACTTTATAACCGAAGCTTTTCAGTATTGTTGTCCGGTTTAGTAGTGGATACTGTTTTAAGCGTGGTGATGGGTTTCTGAGTGGGTCAGATACCTGCTGACCGCAAATGATACACAACTGTGTCCCTGTCTTAGGTGTTGCAAATTCTTGTGGGCAAATGGAAAAAAAAGGTTAAATGTTTTTAACTTTCTTTCTCTCTCTTTGGTTTAACAGGTGAAACTGGTGAATATAAGAAATGATGATATAACTGATGGGAATCCCAAGCTGACGTTGGGGTTGATATGGACCATTATTTTGCACTTTCAGGTAAGCTTGGCTTTATTTCCTCAACTTATGGTGTTTTCGGCAGATTTTGTTCCAGTGTAACTGATGTTGTTTCGGGATTTGGGTTTGTACTCTGTGTGGAACTGTCTGCTAAGATCTGATTGTATCCCACATGAAGCGCTCTGTACAAGCGCTCGGAGATGCTGTCCGGCGTGAAGCACGCTATATAAATAGAAAGTTGTTGTAACTACTGATTTTGTTGTTGTTGGAGAGTGAGTCGCTGTGTTTAATTGGTGCTTTTTTTTGATACCTTTCTAAGCTATCTTGCTCGTGTTCAACGAGGAACCATTTGGTGGCAGACTGGCAGTGTTTTTGAATTGCTGTAATGCACTCGAATATTGTTGAAAAGACATGGATGGGTTAACGAAGGCCCAGCCAGTGGTCACCGTGATGAATCTACACTTGGGGGAGTGAGGGGTTGTTGGGGTGGGGGCGAGGGCTTCATAAAGTAAGGACTTGCCCGATTTTGGAGAGGAGTCAAAAGGAGAGTGATAATTACATGGCATTTCATTGAATGTGGCACAATGGAAATGGCTGTTCAACCATCTCGTCCGTGACTGTGCTTATACTCCACGAGCCTTCAATTCCTCCCGGTCATCTGTCCCGATCTCTCATCTCCTTTCCCTTCTCACTTGGGTGTACACTGATCCAGATACTTCTTTAAAAAAGTAATACATTTTATTCTTCTTCCTCTCTCTCCATTACAAAATTGGATCTATGTGGGATCAATTCTGTCTGCTTGCCTCCCCTCTCTCTCTCCCTGCCTCTCTCTCTTTCTCTGTCCCCCTGCCTCTCTCTCTCCCACTCTCTCTCTTTCTCGCTCCCTGCCTGTTTCTCTCTCTCTGCTGCCCACCCACTCACTCCCTCCCTCTCTTCCAGTATTGGATCCATGTGGAATCGGATTATGTTCCATGTGTTGTGTTGGACACATTTTGTCATGTTTAGTGAAGTAGCTGAGGACGAGTGAGATGAGGGAGTCTGGTACGTGGACAGACATGCTTCCAGTTATATGGCACAGTTCCAACCACATCAGCCTGCCCCTTGCTCTCAGTGCTCGCATGTTAACTCCTCACTGCACAAGATCCTTTGCTCAAGTGCCAGCCTTTCCCTCTTCGGCTTGATCCAAGCCGGAGCTAAGCTGATTAAAAGTAAAACATTTCTTCCCAGTGTAGATGGCACTACCCCAAACATCAACAGATGCTGGGCTACTTTAATAATGATAATAATCATAATAGTAATAATTTTTGTATTTGATGTGATGTGGTTTCATGTGGAGGCTTGCAGCTTAGTGGTTAGCGCCCTAGACTCGCAAGTAAGAGGAGCCTGGTTCAATTCCCGGGCAGAGCGAAACCTTAGGCCAGTTTCCTTACTCTGTTTATCAAGCAGTAAGTAGGAACCTAGTTGTCAGTCGATTGTCGGATCGCTTTCTGGCAGTAATAATCCTTCAAAAAAATTGATCACTCAATCCATGATTGTGGGACACTGTTGTGTGCAATTGGCTGCCATGTTTCGCCCACAAAATATACAGTCAATTCACTTTACAGTATATTCTGTGAAGTGGTGTGAGATGTCTCAACGATGTGATAAGGTGCCTATATCAAAGCAAGGACCATTATTATTACTATCATTATTATTGAAGGGACATACGGGATAATGCGGGCAGTGGGATTGAAAGAAAAACTTGCTCTGAGAGCTGGTACAGACTTGATGGTCCGATTGGCCTCTTGCAAATGGGCTGTGATAGAGTATGATTTGTGGGAGGGGATAGGAGTGAGGCAGGCAACTGGTTCAAACATTTAGCTAACCGGCTCAGCATCGCTAGCGCAAGGCTTTGGCAACAACCATTGGAGGGAATCTTGACCAGGAACATCGCCAGGAGCAGGATATCCCACACCGTGATAATTACCACAATCGCATTTCTCTTGCCCCTGTAATTTCTTAACCGCTATACTTGACGTAGTCTGCACTTTTGGGTTTGCTGGCTGGTTGCTACTCGAGGGTTAATGACAACCAGCGAGCAAGCCTCTTCCAATAAGTTTTAAGTGCAGCCAGGTTTTGAGGCTACACAGAGTGCATAGAAGGTGCTTCTCATCCTTGGATAAATTTGGCAGGCAGAAATACTCTGACCACAGGAGGAGCCCTTTGAGGCAATGTGATCCTTATTAGATCAACGCTGGAACAATGCCCAGCCTATGCTGGTCTGTCTCAGCGCTGGCTGAGAGCGTTTGAGTTTACGTTATTATAAAGATCCGCTCTATGGCTTCTGAGCCGCGAGTTAGCATTTACTTGCTCGGCCCTGGATCGGAAAAACGAACGTTACGCATTTCAGAGAATAATAATAATAATAACAATCCTTGCATTTGATACAGCGCCTTATCATGTCGCTGAGACGTCTCAAAGCGCTTTACAGAATATACTGTAAAATTAATTGGCTGTGTGTGTAATTTGTGGGCGAAAATGGCGTTTCTCCCAGTGCCAGCAATCCCTCAGATAAACCTGATCATTCGATTCGTGGCTGTTTGCACGGGACGTTTTGCTGCGCGGTGCGTAAATTAGCTGCCGTGTTCGCTTACAAAATACACACATGGTCTCTTTACAGTAAATCCTGAGAAGCTATTTGAAATGTTTTGACAACGCGATAAGGCGTTACATCAAACGCAAGGATTTATTATGATTAATAATAAATAATGCATTTTCCTCACAAGACTTCAATTTTTTTTATAACAGGGACTTTAGCATGCTACAAACAGTGATACAGCAACTTAAAAACAGTCAAACTAGACCATGCCGTTGTTTATACTCCCAAGAGCCCCCATCCCTTCTATTCCCTCCTCCATCATGTATGCAGCTTTAAGATGTCTCAACAACGTGATAAGGGCTATATCAAATGCAGATATTGTTGTTATTACCAGCTCACTTGATTTGGGAAACCGCTCCTGGAATTCTAAAGTTCACGTTTTGCCCACAGAATATACAGTCAATTAACTTTACAGTATGTCCTGTGCAGCGCTTTGAGACGCCTCAAAGATGTGATGAGGCGCTATATCAAATGCAAGGATTATTATTATAAAGCAATCCTTGTTCAGCTTTTGGGTGTTTGTCCCGGTTTGCTCACTGTCTGCAGTTGTGTGGTCTGATCAAAGTTAGGAGGTCAATCGCATCTCCTCCTTAACCAACAAAGTGCCTGTTCAGGAGGAGTGCGGGGGAGAGAGAGAGAGAGAAAAGGCTTTTGTGGAGCAAGTTTAGATCAGCCGACTCCAGAATGACTAAATTTCCTGTTTTGCTAAGTATCCACTAAGTGCGAGGCAGTTTTGCGACATGGGTGAAACCTTCACCTCTGATGACGTGTGCAGAGAATTGAGATTTGGTGACATTAACCTAAGGCCATTAAATCTGCAAAGACCTTTTGAATACTGTACATCCGTCTATCAGAATGTACCCAATCCAGGCTGACACTCATTCTATTTGCCTTCCCTCTTTTTGTTTTGCCGAGCGATGGAAATAGACCTGCTCTGTTTACCCCCTCAAGCCATACATCGGTGCTTTGAACTCACAGTCAAGGCTGGCACTCAAGTGCAACAACAAGTTGCACGTATATAGCGCCCTCCATGTAGGGTAGTGACTCCGAGCAGTTAGCAGTGGCAGAGCCTGACTCCGAGGAGTGGGGAGGTGGCTGTAAGCACGGTCGAAGATGAAAGTTTTCAGGTGAGACTTGAAAGAGGGGAGAGGGGGTGCAACGCAGAGGGATTGAGGGAGAGTGTTCCAGAGTTTTGAGGCATAGTGGCTGAAAGCACGACCTCTGATGGTGGGGTGGAGGGTGCGAGGGACGAGCAGGAGGCCGGTGCCAGTCGAGCGGAGGCACCGGGTAGTGGATTGGGGAGTGAAGAGGTCAGAGGTCGGAGAGGTAGGGAGGTGCCAGGGAGTGAATAAATTTGAACACGAGTGTGAGGATCTTGAAGTTGATCCGTTCAGTGATGGGGAGCCAGTGGAGCCTGGCCAGAACTGGTGAGATGTGTCAGTATGCAGGCGGCAGAGGTTTGAGTGAGCTGGATCTTGTGAATGGTGGAGCCGGGAGACCGGGGAGGAGTGCGTTGGAGTAATCCAGTGGGAGGTGACAAACGTTGCATTTGGGGTAAGGTACGGTCAGAGGTGGGCGATGAGGTGGAGGAAGGCGATCCTGATCAGGGACCGGATGTGGGGAAGGAAGGACAGCTGAGGGTTGAACCAGTCGCCCAGGTTGCGCACTGGTTCGGTGAGTCTGAGGGAGAGCCCAGGGAGGTTGAGGAGTTTAGATCCGCAGAAGTGAAGACGTTGACGGGAGCCAAGGAGTATGGCTTCTGTCTTGTCCATATTCAGCTGCAGGAAGTTGACACTCATTCAGGTCATGATGTCTGCCAGACAAGCTGATAGAACATCGGTGGATCTGGAGTCGATGCTGGAAGAGGCAAAATAGATTTGTGTGTCATCCGCAGAGATGTGGAAGTTTACCCCATTGCCCAGAGGGAGCATATAGATAAGAAAAAGAAGAACGCCAAGGATGGATGCCTGGGATACCCCGCAGGTGACCGGGCGGGGGCAGGAGGAGAAACCATTTGCTGAGATGAAATGCAGTCCTGGGTGAGGGTTGCATTGTCAAAGGTGCTATCCTTTAGATGAAACACATAACTATACATAACTGAGGCCCCTTCTGCCTGTTCAGCTGGATGTTTGAAAAGAAAATTGAGTTTTTCCCCCATTTTCCTGGATAACACGACCCTATATGAAATTGGTAATCACTTTATAACTGTTTGTGGAACATTGCTCTGCTCAAATTGCCTTCCGTTTTCACTTGCGAAGTACAGTCACCATAACCAACAGTAAATCCTTTGAGACATTTTGACGACATGATAAAGTGCTATGTCAAATGTAAAGATTATTGTTGTTATGTGATGATCACTGTCACGAATATCAACCCGAATATTTTCCAAGTACAGGATCATCAG